CGACTTCACTAACGACTTCACTAACGACCTCACTACTGTAAAAAATAAACGTTCTCACTTACAAAAGTATTGCAACTCTTCCCATTGCTGTGCTTCACACAATAGTTCATATTCTTCAGTATCGCTGCTGTCACTCCAATCGTCAGAGTCAAAGTCACTGTCAAAATAAATGTTAGTAAGTTTTGACAAAGCTAATGAAACACGTTTACCGTTTGTATCGTATGCTTGTATAAACTTTCCATTCTTCATTCCTTCATAAACGCTCAAACTAACTTTACCCTTTCTCCCTCGTATCTGATAGAATGTATTTTCACGAGGAACGAAGAACAAATTCTTGAACTCATGACCGTTGTAGTTTGTTATCTCAATAGTTTTCGTCATTTACATCCAAAATAAAATAAAAATAAAATAAAACTAATGAAATATTTCTCATAACATAAACGTTCTCATTACTTTATAACTCTCTTCCTTGGTTTCTTTTTAGTTGCTTTCTTCACGTCTGTCTCCAACTTGACTGTCTTTCTTCTTCGGCCGTAATGATACCAGTTACTTCCACCAGTCAATGGGTCAAATGGTCTTTCGTAAGGGTTTCCATACATTCCATAAGGCCCGTATGGATAAACCGCTGGTGGAGAAGAAACATTTTCTTTAGTTCCATCGAATCTATTTAAATGCATTGTTTCACCTTTCATCTGGTCATTAAAGTCTTTTGCGTGTTTTGCAAACTCATCGTCCTTTCCTAAAGCATTTTCCGACTCAGTCGCAACCAAATTGGATGCTTTATTTATGAGCCCTATTTTATTTAATCTTAACTTCTTTGCAACCCAGCCTCCTATCTTTCCTTTATTTGCATCTAATGTCTTCGAAACTCTTCCTCCACTCATTTTATTTACTGCGTCATAAGCTCCAAGTGCTTTTGCTCCAAATGCTAATGCTTTTGTTCCCATTGCGCCTAAAGCTGCCCAAGCTACCATTTACACCATATTAAAATCATCTCTCTTCAATATTATCTCATAAAAGTTCTCGTTACTGGAGAAAGTCAATGAAACATAAACATTCTCACGGGCTTCGCCCTCACCGCTTTGCGGTCTATCTAACTTATTTCTTATATCATCTATTCTCAATAAAATGTCTGAACAATTGCTAACATCTTCTACAACAGTTATTTCATCATGAATGACCTTCAAGAACAAGCTCATTTAATATGCAATTAAAATCATCTCAATAATGAGTCCATCCTTTCCATCTTTAGGTAGCACAACATCTTTCATTGAAGAAGGTTCGACAAGTCTTATGTTAAACTTACTGACAAAGTTTGTTATACTATAATGCTTTGGCGGCGAATACATATAGTTTGAAAGACATAATATAGATTCTTCAGCAAATTCACTTATACTGGATTTTATAACAATGTTCTCACGAGACCAAATACCACCAATTGACAATCTTGTAAGCAATCCTGCTGAACCTTCTACTGTAAACGTCGATGGTAACATTCCACGAAGGTCATCTATTGACATCTTTGAGTCACTGAATTTAAAGATTTTCTTAAAGCAATCGTCATTATCTAACCATGCAATAGCTTTGAAGTTTTCATTCGAATATACATCTGCTTCATTAAATGTAAATCCTGACTTCTTTGCAGAGATGACTTTAAAATCTATTGAGTTTGTTTCAAAATTATATGCTATGGTAACTTCTGAAGGTAATGGATGTCCTTCCGCAGTAAGTTGTTCTCTCACTACCGTTTGAAGCTTTGTATTAAAAACTTTCATGTCATCTCCTGTGTCTAGGTTCACATACACAGCAACAGGAAAACTATCTTGCTTCTTTGTTTCATCATTATATCTCAAAACATTAAAGTTCTTCAATAATATTGTTCTTCCTGCTGGAATACTTCGAACCTGTCTGATTTCAATAGCTTTCTCACCTCCTACATACTCTACCCAATGTCTTGGATATCCATAAGTATACTGACTTTCTTGAATTTTGGTTGGTTTCATCATAACGTGTTCATAGTATATCTTTATACTCTTGTCAGTTAGACTCGGTGCTATGTTCTGAATATTTCTGACTTGCATTTTTAATGGAGATAAAATGAAGCATTTAATACATGATGTAGATGAAGACATGAATGAAACTACAGACAAACTTAACTCTTCTCTCATTCTTCCTTTCAGTAAGGACTATGAGTTCTGTTCAAATGGTGTGTATTTCTATTGTGGAAAGATGGGGTCAGGTAAGACATTTAACCTCATTCGTCATATACTCATAACAGAGCGTTTAGGAAACGACTCTTACTATGACCAAATCATTATATCAGCAACTTCAGACTCTATGGATTCAACAGCGAAAACATTTATGTCAAAAGTTCAAGCTTCTGTCGTTAAAGTTCCAGACAGTGAACTCATTGAATTTCTTCAACGTTACATTCGACGTAAGAGGAAATATTATGCCATCGTAGAGTTCATACAGTCAGGAATGCAAAAGACTTCTGAGGAGATGGAAAGAATTATTGACAAACACACTTACGTCAGTACTCAGGAGTTTACGATATGAAACGACTGACAAACTACATTCTATCAAAACTTTCAAAATACCCCTTCAAAAAGTATCCTTCAAACACTCTGCTCGTTTGTGACGACTTCGCTGGTAAAGGTTTAGTGTCAAAACCAGACTCACCATTAGCTAACATCATTACTAAAGTCAGACATTACCATTTAACTGTAGCAATACTTATGCAAACATGGCGTTTTCTTGCTTTAAACATAAAACGTCTCATAACTGACTTCGTTATCTTTCAAGGTTTCTCACGTTATGATATTGAACTCATTTGGAAACAGTCAGGTATAACATTACCTTTTGAAGAAATTTGGGAAGCATATAAGTCTCTCATCTCTCCTCGTTCATACCTTGAGATTCATATCATGACTAATACCATTAAAGTCAAAAATATTCCATGGGAACGACCAACATTGTTTTAAATCTTATGCTTTAATTGACTGATGGTAAACAAATTCCATGCATCTCTGTCGCCATTTCTGTTAATATTTTTGCTGTCATTCATATCATCCACTTTCCCATCCGTTAGCTTTTGAGGATATGCGTTAGAATAGCTGTTCTTAAATGAAGGCTTTTCACCTTTTAGCGCATAAACTCTATAACTTTCTGCATACTTTATGTTTGAACCTCCTGAGCCATCATTGACATAAATTTTTATAGGCTTCCACCCTTTGTTCATATTCCTGCTTCTTCCCTTAGCTCTTTTGTTCAGTAGTTCTACATCTTTATACACAGCACCTGTCTCAGTGAATTCAACAATATTTTCATTCGTTAGCTTTACATTCAAACCCTTGTCGAGTATATTGTTCATTTCATACATATAAAAGGTTTTTATTCTATATGAAATGAGAAGCAAATCCATCTTAGCTGGTGCCGTTAATGTTCCAATTGAACCAACATCAAATGTTGACTCACGAACGACAAACAATATTGTCATAAAGAACTATAGTTCAGAGTGTTTGAAAGAAAAAGAACCAGATCTTAAGTCGGTGAATTTAAACACAGCTTCAAACGCTAACGCTACATCAGATGTTAAGTTAGAGTATCCACCACTGGACCAAGTTCTTTCAAGAGAAGCCAACGACAACCCTTACACAAATGTTCAAACAAATCCTTCAGATAACGTAGACCATTACCTTCTTCAGTTATACCAAACAATTTTACTCAAAGACGATAAGAAGCTTTTGACAAATCTTATAAGTAAGAACCAAATAATTCTAACAAAGGAGGACCTTGAAAATGTTATCTCACGAATAACAGGGAAACAATGTGTCATTGACTATCTCGACCCTGAAATCGAATGCTGTGGTCAAACTCCACTATTCATGAAAATAGGTAACATCCGCATCATTGAAACACCAGGTACTCCAGGAGTTGAGTTTAAGTATAAATATTCGAACGAGTATACAAAACTATCTACTTACTATAAGCTTTGTTTGAAATATGTTTTAGTAAATTAAAGCAATTTGTAATATCTATCCAAAACTTCTTCAACAGTATCGAATTCATCTTCATAATGCAAACCTAATCTTATTGACTTGGTGCAGTTTTCACTAACACAATATTTTTCTGTTCTCTTGACTGACATAACTAACTCATTTGTTTCATCAAACAGCAACAACCAAAGTTCATGACCTAATACATAACATTCATACTTTATATTTTTAGCTCTGAGTTCTCTTGTAAGCTGTTGCATTTAATATTTTCTAAAAAGTCAACTTCAACAGTCATTCGCACTGGTGCCTTCAGTTCTACAGGCTCTCCTTGAAAGTCAACTAGTCTAAATTGCATGTCTTTCAAATTATGAGGACTAATGCGAACCCATTTACCTAAATGAGTTGCTATGACAGGAACGTTTGGAATGAACATTGAATTGACTGCATAACAGAAAGACTTATATTCTACTGAACCTTTACTATTAACTCCTGAAATACCTGTGACATTAGCTATTTTAGACTCAATGTATAAACAATTACCATAACATACGTATGGAACAGATTTCATCTCAATCGTTTTGTCAACACTTTTCAAAGGAAATGTCATATGGTATGCACCCAAAAGAAGTTGTACTCTATGACTCATTCTTGGTATCTTAAACTCCTTCGCATAACTGAACTTCAATGTTCCCTCAGAAGAGAGTTCGACATCTATGTTGTCAATAGTTTCTTTATTTATGAGAGTATCTATGACTCCAGCAATTTTATCTATTCTATACCCAGCTCTATTAGGAAATGTTATAACACTTCTTTTGTCATCTATTTCAATCTCTATGAAATCTGTTTCATCTGTTATGACAAAAGTTGCGATAGTATTGAAGTCAACAACTCTGAAAGCAAGCGCTTCATTCTGAAGACCTAAGTTTGTTTGTAGCTTTACTGTCCCGTATTCGTTTGGGTCTGTACTTTGCAAATAGAACAACATTTTATTCTCATTAAAATATGACTATTGCTGCATATGCGTATGAAACAAATGAAGCAAGAAGAGCACATGAACTAGTAAACGAAAACTCAACTTTAACCATTGAAGGCAATGATTTAGTCATTGACGATGGAAAAACTAAAAAAGTCATTGATTTCGATACTTTTAACACTTATGACCCATTCATTACAACAAGCAAGGTTCCCATCATAAATGATGGAACGGTGCAATATATAAATTCTACAGTAGATGCCTCAATAGTGAAAGTATTAAATGTTCTCATTGAATTGTTAAAGAGCTTTCGATTTGACGACAACATTAAATGCCTAAAGAATTTAGTCATGAATGAGAAACAAATTCTCGGCGTTGCTGGTAGCAGTAATGATGTACACCTTATGACATTAGAATATTATAACGAACATAAAGATGAACTGAAAGGAGAGAAGGGTGACACCGGACCTCAAGGACCACAAGGAATACAAGGAATACAAGGAATACAAGGACCTCAAGGCGAAAACGGTTTGGATGGTGAAGATGGAAAGGATGGAAAAACTGCTAAATCATGGATATGGAACCTTATAAATACTGGTTTAACAGCTGCTTCATATGGAGTTCTTCAATACCAAATCGGAAAGATATGGGCAGTACTTGGTGAAGAAGTTTTAGATGACGTTAAAAATGCTTTGAACTTCATTTCAAATGGTTCGGATACTATTAAAACTTTATCTGGTTGGATGCAAGAAACAAGGAGTCAAATAGATACTGTAAGACGTATAGCAAACAATGCACGTACGGGATTGGATACTTTACGAGAAGCACAAAATACACTAAAGGAAGCAAATGATATTCTTGGCTCAGTATCAGACATGCATGAAGATTGGCTTAAAGGTATTGACAAATCTTTAAAAAATCACAGTCAGTCTATTGCTGACTACAAGAAAAGTATAGATTTTTTACATAGTGCTATGGACGTACATGATGGAAGCATAAGGAACTTACTTAATGCTAACAATAACTTACCAGGAACTATTAAAGCATTTATAAAGTCCTTTGTAAAACCCGGTGCTCTAACATTTAGGTCTTTGAGAGCAAGAGCATTGAAGTCAAGAGATGCAGAAACTCCAACAGAAACTCCAGAAGAACCACCAAAACCAACAGCTAATGAAATATTGTTCGAATATTTTCCAAGGTACTCTGTTCTCATTGCATACATTCAAGAAATACTTAAGAAAGCAGACTTGACTTTAGGAGATGATGAAAGTTCTGTATATCTTTCGTTCCAGTTTCAAATAGCAGAACTTTTGAGACAGATATGCTTAATGTATGACAACATCTCTGATTTCACAAGATATTATGACGACCATGACCCCGAACACGGTGAAGAAGAAGTTTTACAAACATCCATTAAGACAGGAAAGGTTTTAACTCAAAGTCTCATTATTGACACCAAAGATGGCGAAGTGGACGTTCTTCAAGAGCTGAAGAAAAATACTTCTTCGGGAGGTGGTGGTAGGCATGAACTTGAAATAAATGAGATAGAAGAGAAATTAGCCGAAAAAGCAGATAAAAACCATGTTCATTATATAAGTTCAGACGAACAGATTATAACGGACTACCATGGATATTTAACACGAACTGAAGAAGAAGTGAAGACAAAAGATGTTAATGAAAGAAGATATAAATACATTCGTGCTAAAGGTTATGACATAAGCTGTACTGTACAGTATGACACGGGTAAAGCACCAGAAGCATTTAGTTATAACGATGAAATTTATGCCTCTACTTTCTCTGTTAACGGTGTATTAGTTGAACCAAGATTTACATTGAGAGTTAAGACAAAAATAACCGTTGAAGATGCTATTAAAAGTAAAGCTGACAAAGATGAACTCGAAGCAATGAACAAAGTTTTGAAATCTCATAAACACAACATCTCCGATATAAATGAACTTCAAGCTACATTAGACAGTAAAGCCGACAAGAACCATACACATAAATCCTTCACTACTGTTAGAGCAGACGACATAATATTGAACTATACCCTTGGTTCAAGTGCACCTTTAGAGAATCCAAGTACAAGCGTAAAAGATACACTAAACTCCTTAAATAACAAATGTATGAACATTGAAGGTCATGCCAGAAACTTTGAAACACATGAACTACCAGCAATGTTAGACAAAAAAGCAGACAAAACAGAGCTTCAAACATTAAAGACAGAAATACTTCAAACATTATATCCTATAGACTCTATTTATACGTCAATGAACTCAACAAATCCAGCAAGTGTTTTAGGTTTTGGTACGTGGAAGCAGATTGTAGACAAATTCTTATACTGTGCTAGATATTCAAAGCAAACAGGAGGTTCGAAGAAAATTAAAGAAGCAAACCTTCCACCACACACTCATACAGGAACTACAAACACAACAGGTAATCATTCACATTCAATAACAAAAAGAGGTTATACAAATCTTGCAGCAGGTTCGGATAGACAGGGAATGAATAGATATGATATCTCAGATGACCCAGTAGATTCAAGCGCAGGTATTTTCTGTGGAACCACAGGAAATCATTCACACACTTTCACAACAAATCCAACAGGCTCGGGTGCAGATTATATGCCACCATTTGTGACTGTATTTGCATGGTACCGCGTTCAATGAAATCTTTAACTTTACATAAATGAGCTTGAAAGAAGTATTCGAACAACATCCATGGAGGTCTTTTAAGAAATTCAATGAAGCAGCAAAAAGTTGGGGATTTACTAACAGAGCTGAAGTGAAAAGGTTCTTTGACAAAAATGTTGTACATCAAACAAAAATAAACCCTTACGACTACTTTTTACCAATTTACTCCAACACTCCTGACGCATACCAATTTGACACTCTCATTCAAAGCAGAAAAGGAGGACATAAACCATTCCTCATCTTCATTAATGTTAACACTCGCAAAGCATATGCATATCCAATGAAAAATAAAGGAACTCATGAAGTGTTAAGAGTTTTACAAAAGTTTGTGGCAGAACATCATCCCACTTCATTAACATCAGACCAGGATTCAGCATACCTCAGCAATGAAATCACAGATTTTCTCATTAAGCATAACATAACTCACTACACTACTGAAGACCATAACCATAACATACTCGGTATCATTAACCGCTTCATAAGAACACTCAGAGATTTAAATCAAGAGCGAGACTTTACCGAAGAAACAATGAAATATTTTCTCGAAGTATATAATTCCTCAACACATTCTACAACAGGGCATACACCAAATTCAATGACACAACAACAAGAAGAAAAGTATATACAAAAGAAACGAAGTCAAACACAAAATATCAGAAATTCAACACAATTTACCCTCATTCCTGGTACAAAAGTTCGTGTAGTTCTTGACGACAAACCGTTGACAAAGAAACGTTTAAGGTTAAGTAGAAACTATTATATCGTAGACTCTACGCAAGGTAATGGATATCTTATAAAAGCTGCCGACGACTCCATTGCATTTTATCCTCGACATAAATTAGTTGAAAGTAGTAATGGCAAACTTGCTGAAACCATTGACGAAGCAAAGCGAGGAGTGGTTATTGAAATACTTGGCTATAACATAAACGATGACACTTATAAAGTAAGATATGAAGGAGGTGTTGAAGATGTTATACCATCTAAGAACTTGAGAGAGTCAAAGCCAACACATCTGGGACCATTAGAGCGGGAGTACTGGAAAGACAAAAATATGCCAGAAAGAATAAGAAAATTCATCTAAACTTTTTCATTAGATGTAAATCAGACATGAATGAGAACAATCATGGAATTATTAATGGTACCATTTATTTACACCAAAAATAATGTTTAGGGTAGATGGTTAGATCTAACCTCATTTCTAACCTCATTTCTAACCTCTTGAATGTGTCGAAACTTCTTCATCGTAATGAATGTGTCAAACATGAGCGTAAATGAATGTGTCGAAACTTCTTCATCGTATATGTTTACGTTAATGGTTTCATCGTATATGCTTTGTCAAACATGAGCGTAAATGAATGTAAATGATCCAAAAATAATGTTTAGGGTAGATGGTTAGATCTAACCTCATTTCTAACCTCTTTTCTAACCTCTTTTCTACCCTCTTGAATTTTCATGACTTCTTCATCGTATATGCTTTGTCAAACATGAGCGTAAATGAATGTGTCGAAACTTCTTCATCGTAATGAGCGTAAATGAATGTGTCGAAACTTCTTCATCGTAATGAGTGTAAATGATCCAAAAATAATGTTTAGGGTAGAAGGGTAGATCTAACCTCATTTCTAACCTCATTTCTACCCTCGTGAATTTTCATGAATTTCCTTATGAAAGAAAAAAATAAAGTTAGTTTTATTTTTATTTATTTTTTTATCTTGTATGTAAAGATATGATTTCAACAATAGGTTCTACAACACTTCAAACAACAACTTCACCAAACTCTTTAGTTATGAATCCAACATCTATGTTAGTTGAGATGAAAAGCTTCATTCCTTCTTCATATACTTTCGAAACAACAATCCAGAAGACAAAGCAAGAACTTTTAACAAGTACTTTGGACTGTTGTGCGAAAGATGAACAAAATGAACAATATCTTTATGAAATGCAGGACATTATTGACCATTTACCCAAATTGCCTGAAATCCAACAACAAAAGCTCACTATTCCTGAATTCGATGAAATAGAAGTAAAAACAACCGACTCAGTAGAAATAAAGAAGTTCATACGTAAAGTAAATTATGAGTTTCTAGGATTTCATTGCAACCATAAAGTTATGGACAAAGATTGCGACATGGTATATAAGAACATCTCTGACATATATAAATCGGAGGAGTTTAAGACATACGACAACTTTGTTTCGTTAGTTGCTGAATGTGTATGGCAGATAAGAGATAAAGATAGAAGAGGTAAAGTATGGAACGGACAAATAAAACCAGCAGCTTTTGAGTTAAAGAAAACCATTGACGCCTTAGTTGTTCTAGCAGGTCAAATTTCAATGTATAACGCAAAAATGAACCCACAATGTTCAAAATGTAAAGCAGCAATAAGGAAATATAACTACTCCGTCAAAGAGATAGAACGTATGAGAAACGACTATGCTGACTTAAAGAAAGAAGAAGAGAAACCAGCAGAAGATAAAATGGATATGTTAGCATTTCTGAACAAAAACTATCCAACAGTTGACGATTTCCTATTATCTGATGTCAAGAATAAGTATAAAGAAACCTTCGGCATAGTTAAAATTTTTGATATCCTTCGTGAAGAAATAGAAGCTACGAAATTGTTTAAAATTTCGCGAATTCATAACGTTTACCATGTAAAACGGTTATAAATAATGAGGGTAGAAATGAGGGTAGAAATGAGGTTAGATCTAACCATCTACCCTAAACATTATTTTTGCCGAATTCTGTATAAAATTCTTGAGTTTTCTACGATGTTAGAAATGAGGGTAGAAATGAGGTTAGATCTAACCATCTACCCTAAACATTATTTTTGCCGAATTCTGTATAAAATTCTTGAGTTTTCTACGATGTTAGAAATGAGGGTAGAAATGAGGGTAGAAATGAGGTTAGATCTAACCATCTACCCTAAACATTATTTTTGACGTAAATTTATTTCCATTTGGCTTCCCACCGCATAAGATATTCATACGTGTTTGTAAGACATTCATTAAACTTCTTTTCTATTGCATCTAATCTTGCGTTATTTTTTTCAATAACTTGTCTGTATTCTTCATCATCTCCAGCAGTGTTTGGGTCTTCACGTTTAAAATATTCATTGTTAACCAATTTTTTATCTACAAATTTTATTAGTGTTTGATTCACTTCGTTATGATAACGGTCATATTCTTTCAATACGTAAGTGAAGACAAAATGCGTCGTACCTTCAATCTTAAAGCTTAAAGAACTTTCAACACAGTTTTGAGGGTCTGTCAGTGCGTCAATGAGATAGTATTCGAAGTCAGTCAATAATCTTTTTAAAGTCATTTCATACAGGATAAAATTTAATGTTGTGAAGAAATAGTGTTTAACACAGAAAAAATAACGCTAATTTTATTTTTATTTATTTTTTTATTTTGTATGTAAAGACAGTAATGTCAACATCAGAGAACACAACAATTGCTATCGTTCATGAAGCCATAAATGAAGAATACGAGTACATACAGTATAACAAACAGTTACGTCTCATTCGTTCAGTCAAAGATGACATGTACCAAATGCAAAGTATAATGAATGCTCTTCAGTCTACAAAGCAAGCATATCATTGGTTTGAAAACCAACAGACAAAAGAACTTTTAGAAGAATTTCCTCATATGTTTGCTACCCTCGGAAAACCGAGGGTAGAGATTCCGTACGAAAATCGCAAGAATTTGGCTCCTGGTTTGAGAGGTTATTATGTTCATAGACTTTTAGTAAATGCTGTAGCAATGTGGGCTTCACCTCGTTATGCTTGTTATATTTTCATGATGTTAGATGAACTATATAAAGCAGAACGTGGAGAGATGGAAAAGAAACTTCAAGCAAAAGATGAAGTCATTGAATCCAAAGACAAAAGCATACAGAAAAGAATACCACGTTCAGTACCAAAAGGAAAGGAAAAAAGCTATAAGTATATGATATATACTAAAGAGATGGAGAAAGAAGAAGATAAAGATATGGTTATGTTGCATTTAGTGAGAAGAAACAACAAGAGCTTTTATGACCTCGCTAAAATATATAAATCTGACAGAAACTGGTTCTATCGTGAAAACTTACCGATTTCAATGACACCGAATGAGCAAATAAAGGAAATTGTCAAAAATACTCTTCCTCAAACACACTATGACATCAACGGTTGTACAATACTTACATTCAAAGAAGACTTACCGCTACTGAAAGAAAAGATAACAGAATATTTCGATAACTTCAAAGAGGAAGAATGAAAACTTACCGATTTCAATGAAAAACATTAACTTTTTGACGAAGTGAAGATTTGCACTTTGTCAAAATTTAATGAAAACTTACCGATTTCAATGAAAAACATTAACTTTTTGACGAAGTGAAGATTTGCACTTTGTCAAAATTTAATGAAAACTTACCGATTTCAATGAAAAACATTAACTTTTTGACGAAGTGAAGATTTGCACTTTGTCAAAATTTAATGAAAACTTACCGATTTCAATGAAAAACATTAACTTTTTGACGAAGTGAAGATTTGCACTTTGTCAAAATTTAATGAAAAACATTAACGTAAACATTAACGATAAAATTTATTTCCTGGACTGTTGTCAAAATGTCATGTTGTCATCATTTTTAAAAGAAGTTAATTTAACCTGGTAGCACATGGTGACGTGGTGACACTTTCAGTTATTCAAAAATATATTTTTGCTTAAATAACTTCAGGGTCTATTTCTTCAACCATTCACTTCCTTCGTCAATGTCAATAGAAGCTTCTTCAACCTTTGGTAAGAACTTTTGTATGACATCTTTGTTCGTTATTGTCTTCAGAGATGAAGGATAATATTTCACATGTTTCACCCTTCTTATATTCTTTCTGTTCGGAAAGATTCATAGCAATACTGAAGAAGTCAATGTTAGAGTTCTTTATAACAGTATAATGAGTATCTTTGACATTCACGAAGAAACCTTTTGTTTCAAAACTACTGCTAACTCTTGTGAAGTATAACGTTTGCGGTCAATGACGATAGCTAATGGTCTGACATACTGACCGAACTTAGATTCTTTCACAAACTTCTTGTTAAAGATAACATTAACATTTGCAGCACCATTGAACTCATTCTTGATGGCAGTAGCGAGAGCATTGTATGAAAAGAACTTGCAATCTTGCATGTGTTTCATTAAAATAAAAATATTAAATTATTTTGAAAAATAACTTAAAAAAATCTAATCTAGTTTTTTCAAAAAAATATTTTTTTATTTCCTACTAAAGATGTATCGGAAGTTGTCTAAGTTAGAACACTCGGAAATAAAACAACTTCTTACAGAAGCTAACATAGATGTTGCAAAACATTACGCGACAAACAAAAAAGCACTCGCTGACATCCTCAATGACTACAATGGTGAAATAACTTATGATAGAATTCATGAGTTCATAAAGCCGCAACGCGCGACGGCGAAGTCCATGCAAGAGCATTTCCTTTAAATGACGTTGCTATTGACTTATATCATAGACGTCAGTAGCCACATCAGTAAGGCGCGAGATGTATACATATGCGACGTTGAAACAAGAAGAGACGACACACTGAAACAACAGAGAAGAGAGATGTTTAAGAGCGCTATAGAACAAGTTCGCAAAGCTAACGATGTCATTCGTTCCATTGACGACAAACCAAAAGAAGGTGAGAGATGGTTAAAGAAAGATGAAGAGAATAGGAAGGAAATGTGAAGTCAGGCAATAGACTCATTGACTTTAACATCGAAGCTTTAGATGAACCAAAAGACTACTTACACAAACATTTCGGTAAGGTTTTCATGAGACTCTTAGAGAAGATTAAAATAAACTCCAACAAAGATGGATGGTATGTTATAAACTTGGTGGAAAGTATGAATGTTCTACGTTAAACCTCAATAATATTGGAACATTACTACATCAGCTCTTGAAGGAGAACTTTATATCAGAGATAGAAGCAAATGCTGCAGGTATTGTTGAAATGCACTATGACTTCTTCTTGACAAACATAAAGAATCTTACTGAAATAAAGATGTATGATTTAACAGAATATGAAGGCTTAACGATGTCAGATGTAAAGAAAGGAAACCAAAAGAGACCATATAGAGATGAAAGCACACTGACAAATGACCAGAAAAGATTTTGGAAGCTCTAAACAAACAGGAAACCAGCACTTATAGAACTTTGGAAAGATAATGGTGAAAGAAGTTTTTATAAGAAGAGAAGCGGTCAGTTCTGGAAGTATCTTTGCACATTACCTATAAAATCTTGAACGCTACCAAAATCTTCAATGAACTGAACAAAAGAACTGCAACACTTATGACAGAAGACAATTGTTTCGTTTATGCTTGCATTCAGCTGGAGTAGATGAAGAAACTATTGACCACATGAGAGAAGTCATTCGTGTTAGAGACTTTCCTCAAAGTAAAGTACAAGAAATTTCTGACGCAACAAGTATAGCATTTAATGTTACCATTGGTTATTTCAATGACTCAAGACATAATGAAATAAAGAGATACATACCAAAAGAATGTGAAACTGTTTCGAACTATTGACTTACTTCTTGTTGAAGACACTACATGCTAAACGAAAGATTACCAATGACAACATATTTCATTCGCAACTATATAGAAATCTTGAAGGAGTGTGGTGGAATGAACATTGAGAAACAGATGAAGATTTATACAAAGAGAGAAGATAAATACATTGTTCGCATGGATAGAACTACACCGCTATGGGATGTTATGAAAACATTGTGGGAGTGCAAATATTTCGAACCTATTTCTTATGGAGAACTTTTCACATATACGACTGACTTATATAAACAGAACCTTGCACCATTTAAAGATTTGACATATGCTCCAAAGTATTGTGTACAACTGAAGAAGAAAGCCGAGTCAAAAGAAGTAAATAAAAATAAGTGCAAGTTCATTCCTGAGCACGTTTTCTTTGCTGACTTTGAGTGTAGTACCGATGGCTTTCATAAAGCTTTTAACATCTGTTATGACAGTGAAGATGGTTCAGTGAGTGAAAGCATATGGGGTCAGAACTGTGCAACAGAATTTTTGGAGCGACTTCCTGACAAGAGTTTAATATATTTCCATAACCTCAGTTATGATATAAACTTCATCTTAAGACACATGACAGAAGTGAAAGGAACTCCCATCATTAAAGGTTCACGAACAATGCAAATAACCGGTTTATATAAAGGACGGGCAATTATTATAAAAGACTCTTACAGTGTTATAAATAAGAAGCTTAAACTATTTCCTGCTATGTTTAACTTACAAACAGGACCGAAAGAAGTATTTCCATACAATTACTACAGCAGTGTTTTGTTAGCAAATGACAACAGAACTGGTGTCATTTCTGAAGCATGTAAGTTTGTAAAAGATATTGAAACGTTCATGAAAAACATAGATTCCATCAAAGGTTGCAGAATAGATGAAAACCACTTCGACTTAGAAAAGTATAGCACGTTTTACTGCAAACAAGATGTAAGAATTTTAAGAGAAGGTTTTGTAAAGTTCCGCAATGACTTATTGAAAGAGTTTGATTTAAACGTTTATGACTACGTTAGTATTTGTTCTATTGCTAACAAATTGTTTGAGAACAGAGTATACTTCCCGAATGGAAATCTTTATGACCTCTCAAATAAACCAAGAGAATTTATTTCGAGATGCATTCAAGGTGGAAGATGTATGTTGTCAGATAACATGAAACAAAGAGCGAAAAGAAACTCATTGCTGACTTCGACGCTGTTTCATTATATCCATCCGCTATAGCAAGACTTTATACTTTAGAAGGAATTCCAAAAGTATTGAAGGATGAGATGTTAAGCACAGAGTATCTCATGAGACATTTATTCGATGACGACCAAAAGGAACCCATTGGTGAAAAGTTTATGTCTGGCTTCTTTGTTCTCATTAAGATAAAAGAGATTGGCATACATAGACACTTTCCTTTAATAGTTTGTGACCCTGAACTAAATCCAGAACTTAACGTTCCCAGAAGTTCAAACACTTGCTGTTTAATGTATGTTGACCATATAACATTACAAGACCTCATAAAATATCAAGGTGTCAAATGTGAAGTGTTGCAAGGATACTATTACGATGGAAACAGAGATATTAGAATAAGAGATGAAGTAAAGAAGTTGTTTGAGTTAAGGTTAAAGTATAAGAAAGAAGGAAATCCTTTGCAAGAAAATATAAAGCTCATTCTGAACAGTATTTATGGCAAAACTATTCTATCTCCTATTGAGTCAAAAATAACCATAGTAAATGACAAAGATGCTATAAGATATGCCATCAGAAACTACAACCATATAGTGAAGTTCGAAGGTTTGGATGGTTCAGATAAAACTATTTTCAAGCTAACGAAAAGCATTTGCAGACACTTTAACTTCTGTCCACTTGGTGTAAATATTCTATCAATGTCGAAGAGAATAATGAATGAAGTATTCTGTACTGCTGAGGACATGGGACTTCAAATATTTTACCAGGACTGTGATAGCATGCATATTTTCAATGAAGACATACCAAAGCTTGCAGCAGAGTTTAAGAAGAGATACGGTCGCGAACTTATAGGAAAGAACCTTGGTCAATTTCATTCTGACTTCGCAGAAATAACACCTGGAAAACAAAGTTTAGCATACAAGTCAATATTTTGTGGAAAGAAGACCTACATAGACTTACTCACTAACGATTTAAATGAAGTTGCATTCCATGCACGTTGCAAAGGTGTCAAACAAGACGTCCTTGCTTTAACAGCAAATGAAATGTTTCCTGAAGCTATACAATGCTATTACAATGAAGATAAGAACATTCACATACCTGTTGGAACATATGACAAAGACTCTGAGTTCAGTTTAATGAAACTTTACAAAGCACTTTATGACGGTCAAGAGATTGGATTTGACTTATGTAAGTCTTCTAGTCCTTGCTTTGCTGAAAAGTTTAACTTCTCAATAACGACTAAAACAAGCTTTATTCGTAAGTTGAAGTTCTGAGGTCATGAATGAGGTCATGAATGAGGTCATTTATTTTTGTCAGCAGTGAGACCATTCGTGATAAAAATAATGAGGTCATATATTTTTGTCATTTATACATAACCATTGTCTCTCTTAAACTTTGCAATAGACAGCTTTGTTCTTCTTCCTTCTACATCTGTAATGTTTATATAATCTTTGTTATACTGTCTTAAGACATTCATTCGTCTGTATTGAGTTCCCATGAAATAGTAAAAGACATCTTCACTTGGGACATAGTAGTAGTTCTCTAACGTGTGATATGAGTATTGTATAATTTCAACAGCGTCTTCAGGAAGAGAGTCAACAATGTCAAACCAATAGCCATTTGAACCAGAAATATTTCTCATGTTTTCTCTTCTTGTCGTCCATCTTAAGTTCGAGATATGAAAGTCTCCTCTGTCTCTGTTTATATGGTCTACTTCACGAAGTCCTTCAGGGTTCGGAATGAAAGTTTCTGCAACTATTCTATGTTTCATCAGCTTGTGTTTGTTTAAATTTACACAAATATAACCATCTCCTTGGTCAAACTCACTAACAACTCTTTTATTGCTTATACGTCTAATTGGATAAGGGTACTCTGAAAAGATTTCATAGTCATTGTCATGCTCGAGTGTTTGCCAATGTCCTTCACCTTCCATGCCTTTCACTCAAATAAAATTTTCAGAAAAAAATAAAACTAGCGTAGATTTTACAATACTGCGATGGTAGAGTTTAAGAGTTGTGTTTCAATGTAGAGACAGTCCTTATGGTCTGGAGGTAAGAACACTGGGCAGTTATGGTCATGAGTGGAGAACATGTCTATCCAAAACTCACGATTGAAGCCAGTTAATTTATAGTATTTAGGGTTAGGAAGTGGTGAAGTTCTTGTATGACCAATGAACTCATTTTCAACTCCCTTACTTAAGTTTGAATATAATATAGCTTGCTTTCTATCCCAAATGCCAGGTGTTACAATCTTTGAAAATTCATTTTTCCTCGGAAGCATTGCATCATAATTGAAAACATTCTTGAAGTCTTCATTGGGTTCAGAGATTTGAAATCTTATACGTAATGGATTTTCTTTCTCTTTAGCGACTTCATTGAATGGTGAGAATACAATGAATTGACAGTCATGTGTTCCATCTTCATTTTCATTAAATTCATAATGAAAGTCTATAAGTTGTGGCCGACTACCTTCTTCCTTCAGTTGTGCAAGAAACTCACGTAAAGGCTGTAAAGTTTGTACTTCAATGTTGAACTTTTTCTCGAACATCTCATTAAATGAAATCATACATTGCAACAATGTTGTATCGTCTTTAAAGTATTTGTATATGTGAATGTTTTGGGCGCTTAAAGACTGTTCGTCATTTTCTATCTCGACTTGAAGTATAAAGTCAACCTTTCTGAAAGCACGTGTTATATACATAGATGTTATGCCAATGTACTTCTCTTCATTTATGTTCACAATCCAGTCTGTTGGAAACTTAAACGTTACTCTGTTCCCCTTTATTTTGACGTCAGGGTTTTCACTACTGAACGCAACAGTTAAAGGTATTTGTCTATACATTTAATTCAGATAAAAATAAACCATTTACTCTTTCTTTGCTTCAGCTTTTCTCTCTAGCTTTCTTCGCCAGCAAACGTGGGTTCTTTTGTCTTCCAGCAGCTAATGCAGCAAGTTGTTTTTCACTAAGTTTTCTCTTTGGTCTCTCTGGCTTTTGTTCTTGTTTTTGTTCCTTCAGTTCGGATAAAATTTGCTCACGAATTTCTTTCTTCAATGCTTCAACATCTATGACACCTTGGATCTTGTCCGTAGGGCTTGTCTGAGTCATTGACTGCAGTAAAAAACAAAATTAAAACTTTAACCGATGTAAAATGAGCTTGTCAAAATCAGAGCGAGAGTCTATTATATTAAATGACGCAAGAGGAATACAACATCCTTTCTATTATGTAAGTCAGAGTAAAGATGGTAAAATATACGTAAGAAAAAGAAAGGTTCCATTAGCGAATGCAGAAAGCGACAACATTAAGGTGCATGGCAAGGGTGAAGACCACGAAGCCCATATAAAACCTTCTATTCAAACTGAAAAGTCAATAGAACCAGAAGAAAAGAAGCCAGATGTACTTTCAATAACGAACCAAGAGCTTATTGCAAAGTTCGTGAATTTCATTGAAAAACAAACCGAGTCAAAGAACCCTGACCCACCAGTGAAAGAAGTTGAGACAAAGAGAATGTACAGTTTATTGAAAATGTAAGAAACAACTTCCACACGAATGCCAGAAGAAGAGTGAGATAATAAGAATAGATATTTTTATCCGAATCAAGACATGCAGAACGAACAGTTAAACGAATTTACTCCAGCAGAGCATATTCATCATATTCGCTCATATTTCGATATCATAGACAATGCAGTTCAAATTGGTGACACTAATAGAAAATATTCTGACGCAAAGATTCCATCACAACCTGGAACTGCTAAGATAACACATGGGTAACATTCAATCTCTCACCTCCTGGTGAAAATATGTTGGACCTTACAATACATTCATTACGTATAAAATGAAGGTCAATTTATTGTAGATAAAGAAATTGGTTCAGGTTCCATAAAACAAACCCACCAGGATTTTGGATTGGTTTCGATGACGCTTTCTATGCAGTTGCTGGATATCAAATCCTTGCAAATGGTCGTATCGTATATTCTCAAGACAACGCAAGAGAAGAGCATATTAACTTCAAACTCACAAACTACCGAACAAATAAAGAAAGTAGATTTTTTCTCAAAGACTCGACATGAAGATGTATGGAGTCATTCGGGAACATGCAGAACAGGACAAATTGTTAGTGGTCCAATTACGCAGGAAATCATTTGATTTTAAGCTTCGTTTAAGATTCCTGTTAGAAGATTCCTTCCATTAGAAGCTATTCGATTTATTCCAGCTTTTGCAGGAACATCAGCTTAAAGTAAGTTCAGTAGCGACGCCTTACAATGCACATCTATATCTGTAAATGATATCATTGCTTTCATCCAACCCTTAAAGTTGCATTTGCTTCAGATTCAAATCCACCGAAAATAAATTTGTTCCATGGAATGAACCATTCACTATGATAACGAAGGCAGTAGAAGCTAGTGGAACAGTTACTATTACACTGTAAACCAGCAACTATTTCGAACAAAGATGGATTTTAATGAATGTTTCATTCATCCAAAGTCATTCTCTTTAGACCCTAAATTTATACAGAACTTGTTAGAACATTATACAAACGAGGCTTTATGTTTTCCTGTTAAAGTTATGGATTGGATTCCTATGGACGGTTCATTCTCAAAGAATACAGATAGTTCAAGTGCAACATTTACAGCAGCTTATAGCCTATTAATGTTAAAAGTATTTGGGCACTATTTAGAAAGAAGACAACTATTATGTTAATTTTGAGAACCCTAAGTTTAAATATCTTCAGCTTTCCATGGGAGCTTATGGAAATATGCCTGCAGAACCTGAAAAATCATATGGACCTGCATTTTATGAAATGGTTGCGAACGCTTGCAATACAAACAATGATATGATTGGATTTAATGAAGATGTTATGAGGTCATTGGTGGATGATGGTAGTGTGGAACATAAATGGGATAGCTATGACAACACACATTTCTTATGTGGTTTTCCACAGAAGTGGACTTTTGCTTCCAGCAAGGACAAACATCTACTGCTCCAATAACATACAAATTGTCTGTTAAAGGACCTATTGAACTAGCAACAGAAAACGTACCAAAGCCACTTATTGGATTTATGAGGGATTGTTGCTTTGCCATTCAAGTAAGACAGTCAGGCATACCAATAATAAGACTTGACGACTATAACTTAGCCACAGACGACAGTGAGGAATAAAGGATGAACGTTTATTTTTAAAGCTTATAAATGAGTTCTTCATCAAGCTCTCGTGAACCTTCACCATCTATGAAACAAACTTACCAAACGATTATGGAGCACCTATTGAATATTTCTTACGAGCTGCACAATGGCAAAGAGCAGTCTCGCCAAGGTTAGGTGTTCCACCAGCTCCTGTCAAAAATAGCATTTGGTCAAGTCCTTATATAAAATATGGTCTCCCACTAGGTTTGCTAGCTACAGCAGGAGCAGTTATGATGTTGAAAAGAAATAAAGCAAATGTTGTAAATAATACTGAAGTAGCTGAAATTAAACAAACTCAACATTCACAAGCAAAACCTTCAATGACTCCTGAACCTATGGAAGTACAAACTCCTGTTCAAAAGTCAACTCCTAAACCGACTCCAACATTTAAACCAGAACCTACTCCTCAAATAAATCGTAAAACTCCTGCGTTTCCTTACTGAAAAAATAACGTTATTTTTATTTTATTTGAACATTTTATTTAGAGTAAAATGACGACTAAAGTCACTGAAGCAATGAAACAAAAGTTTTTGGTAGAATACATTAAATCAGGAACTATTCCAGAAGGTTTTTACATTCATACTATGAAGGATGGTAGAGTTCAGTTTAGAAAGATAAAGCAACCATTAGATAAAGAAGGAATTTTGAGAAAGATTAAACTTCATGAGGACAACATTGCTAAACTTAGGAAGAAGTTAGAAGAGTTGGATAAAGCAGACGACAGTGAGGAATAAAATATTTCATTAGTTTTATTTTATTTTTATTTTATTTTGGATGTAAATGACGAAAACTATTGAGATAACAAACTACAACGGTCATGAGTTCAAGAATTTGTTCTTCGTTCCTCGTGAAAATACATTCTATCAGATACGAGGGAGAAAGGGTAAAGTTAGTTTGAGCGTTTATGAAGGAATGAAGAATGGAAAGTTTATACAAGCATACGATACAAACGGTAAACGTGTTTCATTAGCTTTGTCAAAACTTACTAACATTTATTTTGACAGTGACTTTGACTCTGACGATTGGAGTGACAGCAGCGATACTGAAGAATATGAACTATTGTGTGAAGCACAGCAATGGGAAGAGTTGCAATACTTTTGTAAGTGAGAACGTTTATTTTTTACAGTAGTGAGGTCGTTAGTGAAGTCGTTTATGTGTCAGATGGTTTTGTAAATATTTAAGGTTAAGTTGGTGTTTGTGTTTGTGTTGTAAAATATACGTTAATGGTTTCGTAAAGTGTCAAACCGTTAAGTGGTGTACTGAGGCGCGCAGTGCCACAGTACACGACTTAGGTATACTAACTTTGTGAACTCTTGAATTATCAAAATGAATTGCAAACTTTTGTTTTTGTTGTTTGGATTTCTCAAACTCATCAGAATTGATAATTTGAGTAAGAACATTGTCAATTAGATACTGAGCATTCATCGTATTAGGTTTTTGAAGAATATCAATTGCGATGATGCCATTCACGCCCCAAAAAACCGACAACATCATCATTGGTGTGTCAATTTTTTTCTTCGGGAATGTTTGCGGATTTTCATCCTTCGGGATCCACATGATTTTGGCTTCTGTTGCATATTGAAACCAA